AAATATTTTTAAAAAAGCATTTTTTCGTGACTGCCCGAAAATTTTCAAAAATTTTAATTCGAAAATGTCCGAAAAATATAAAAATCAAGAAAAAGACATAAAAACATCTCAAAAGTTCTCGAATCGCACCAGTCACCTTAGAATATCAATAAAAATAAAATATCAAAATTTTACATTTTTTCGTAATTGCCCAAAAAATATCAAAAATTATTATTTTTAAACGTCTGAAAAAATATAAAAATCAAGAAAAAGATATAAAAACACCTCAAAAATTCCAGAATCGCATCACTCACCTTAGAATATCAACACGAATAAAATATCAAAATTTTACATTTTTTCGTGACTTCCTGAAAGCATGGGTCGATCCCAATTGGTATATAAGGGTGGCATCTCAGGAGCGAAAGCCTAGCATGGGCCGATCCTAATTTGTGTAATTATGAGGACAGCATCCCAGGGGTTAAAATGCCTAGCATGGGTCATCCTCTTCTACCACTGATCAGTTGGTCATTCGTATCACATGCTTTATAAAGATCATAACACACAAAAAGGTAAAGACAAGAATGTGACAAACATGATCCCACAAGAGTTAACAAAGGTGGTCTTCTTTTCTGATTTATGCACACATATATTGATACTTGGTTTCATTCGAACTCTTATTTTATATATGTTATTGCCTTACATATTCAGTACATTTTTTCGTATTGAAGTCCCTCGCGGGGGACACTGCATTTCATGTTGCAGGCATAGGTACTCCAGCTAGTAGACCTCCTCGATAGGAGCACACGACACTCAGCTACTTTTGGTGAGCTCCAGATTGATTCGGAGCTTTATTGAGTCATTGGTAGATTCATTTTGGTATTGTATCGTAGTTAAGGGTAAGGCGGAGTCTGTTCGAACCTACTTTAAGGTTTTCTATCTTTTAGAGGCTTTGTACACTTATGTATATGGTTCAGTTGCGTCTTAACAAGTTGTGGCCTCGACGGCCAAGTCTTGTATATAAGTTTTGGGTCTATTTATGTTGGTTCGTATCACTGCATCCTATGTGAACTTGTCACAAAATTGTCATAGTTATATGCATAGTAAGAATAGGTTACATGTTGGTTCTTTCGGGCCTTTAGGGCATTGGGTGAATGTCCATCTTAATAGAATTTTAGGCGTGACAAAAGTGGTATTAGAGCAGGTCATCCTAGGGAGTCTACAAAGCCGTGTATGTGTAGAGTCTTGCTTATGGATGTGTTGTGCACCACATTTATAAACAGGAGGCTACGGGACATATAGGAGTTGTCTCATTTCTTTCATTTCTTAGATCTTGCGATAGAACCGGTGTTGTAGGTGAATCATATCTAATTTCTAAATTGTTTTATTATAGCAAAGATGCCGGTTACGAGAAGGAGTAAAAGTACTAGTAAGCGAGTAGATGTGGCTGCCCAAGAAGGGACCAGCCAACCACCACCTAGTCAAGCTGTTCAAGGTGAGGCTCAAGATGAGTCTCTATCACAGACTTCCCTGACCCCTCCATCACTTGAAGATCTAAGGAGGGAAGCTGCACCTCAAGAACCCCCTATTAATGCTACCGAGCAAGATTTGAGGAATGCTGTCCAATTATTGACTCGTATAGTTGCTGGTCATGGCCAAAGGAAAGAAGGTCTAGTTGCAGGTACTAGTGGTGTAGATAGAGCAGCTGGCATGCGGATACGTGATTTCCTTAATTTGGACCCTCCGTCATTCACCGGGTCAGATCCTAACGAAGATCCACAAGACTTTATAGATCAGATCCAACGCACTTTCGATGTTATGCATGCAAGTGGTAAAGAAGCGCTCAAGATAGCAACATATAGAATAAAGGGTGTGGCTATATTGTGGTATGAAGCTTGGAAGCAATCTAGGGGAACAGATGCACCTTCAGCTACATGGAAAGAGTTCAAAAGGGCATTCCTGGACCATTACCTGCCATTGGAGATCCAAGAGGCCCATGCGGATCAGTTCTTAAATATCCACCAAGGAAGTATGACCGTGAGAGAGTACAGTCTCAAATTTAATTCCTTGTCCAGGTGTGCTCCTAATGTAGTAGCTATTATGGAGGATAGAGTTCATCGATATGTGGATAGATTATATTCATATCTGGTTAGAGATTGTACCATTGCTTCATTGAATAAAGATATGGACATAGCAAGGATGCAAGCTTTTGCGCAAAAGTTGGAGGATCAAAGGAAAAGAAGAAGGACCCAAGAGTCAGAAACGGGGCATTCTAAGAGGGACAGATCCATGGGGCAGTTTACACCATCCCAAGGTGAGTTTAGGCCTCGGTTCTTTAATAGACCGCCTAGGCCATAATCTTCCTACTCTACAGCTAGTGCACCACCTCAGTTTCAAGAGTCTAGGGGCAATCAGTTTGAGCAAAGAGGTGAAAACCAAGGTTCATGAACAGCGGGGTACCAAGAGCAAGGAAGTATGATCCAATAAAGACCTCTTCGACAGTCTTGTAAACAGTGTGGAAGAAATCATTTAGGTGCATGTCGGTTTGGGACAAATGTTTATTTTTGGTGTGGTACACCGGGTCATATGATGAGAAATTACCCTCATAGGGGTATGGGTGGTGTGGCACAACCTACTAGATCAGTTGTTACATCCTCATCATCATCACCTTATTTAGGTAGGGGACAGATGCCTACTGATCGTGGTAAAGGAGCTAGGGGAGCAGCTAATTCTAGTGGAGTTCAGAATCGCACATATGCTCTAGGGGATCGACAAAATTTGGAAGCCTCGCCGGATGTGGTTACAAGTATATTGTCCATCTTTTCACATAATGTATATGTATTAATTGATCCGGGGTCTACATTTTCATATGTTACTCCATTGACTGCTGGAAACTTCAAAAGAACACCAGAATTATTAGTGAAGTCATTTGGAGTATCTACACCAATTGGTGAGTCTATTATATCTTGAAGGGTTTATCGTAATTTCATTGTAACTGTTTGTGATCGTGATACATTGGTTGATCTTGTTGAGCTAGAAATGGTAGATTTTGATGTTATAATGGGTATGGATTGGTTAGCTTCTTGTTATGCTACGGTAGATTGCCGAACTAAGATAGTGCATTTCCAGTTTCCAAAAGAGGCAGTCCTAGAATGGAAAGGTAATATTGGGGCGCCAAGAGGTAAATTTACTTCTTATCTTAAGGCAAAGAAGATGATGTCCAAGGGATACATATGTCATCTGGTCAGAGTGAAAAATATAGATGCAGAGCCACCAACTCTTCAATCTTTTCCGGTGGTAAATGAATTTCCCGATGTATTTCCTGAAGATCTTCTGGGTTTGCCTCCAGAACAAGAAGTAGAGTTTGGTATTGATGTGATTCCAGATACTCAACCTATCTGCATTCCTCCGTATAGAATGGCCCCAGATGAATTACGGGAGTTGAAGGAGCAATTAAAAGACTTATTAGAAAAAGGATTCATAAGGCCTAGTATGTCCCCACTAAGGCACCAGTTTTGTTTGTACGTAAGAAAGATGGCTCGTTAAGAATGTGTATTGACTACCAGCAGTTGAATAAGGTAACAATTAAGAACAAATATCCCCTCCCTAGAATTGATGATTTGTTTGATCAGTTACAAGGTGCTAAGTATTTTTCAAAGATTGACTCGAGGTCGGGTTATCACCAAGTAAGGGTCAAAGACAAAGATATTCCCAAGACAGCTTTTCGGACACGGTATGGTCATTTTTAGTTTTTAGTATGTCATTCGGGCTAACAAATGCACCAGCAGCTTTTATGGATTTGATGAATACGGTGTTCAAGCCATTTCTAGATGTGTTCGTGATAGTATTCATAGATGACATTTTGGTGTATTCAAGATCGGAAGATGACCATGCTAATCACTTGCAGTAGGTTTTACAAATTCATCGTGATCGTAAGTTGTATGCGAAGTTCTCTAAATATGAGATTTTGTTGAAATATGTGGCATTCTTAGGTCATATTGTATCTGACGAAGGAATAAAGGTTGATACTCAAACAATAGAAGCCATGAAAAACTGGCCCAAGACCTACAACGCCTACGGATATCCGTAGTTTTCTTGGATTGGCAAGTTATTATAGAAGGTTTGTTGAAGGATTCTCTTCCATTGATGCACCCTTAACAAAGCTAACATACAAATAAACCAAGTTTCAATGTAGTGATTCATATGAAAGAAGCTTCCAAGAGCTGAAGAATAAATTAACTTCTACACTTGTATTGGTACTTCCAGAAGAAACAGAAGGGTATGTAGTGTATTGTGATGTTTCGGGAGTGGGCCTAGGATGTATTTTGATGCAGCATGGTAAAGTAATAGCTTATGGCTCAAGGCAACTGCGGCCACATGAGAAAAATTATCCAACTCATGATCTAGAACTAGCAGCAGTTGTATTTGCTTTGAAGATATGGCGCCACTACTTGTATGGAGTTCATGTTGACATATACACTGATCACAAGAGTTTGCAATATATCTTTAAGCAAAATGACTTAAATCTGAGGCAGCGAATATGGCTGGAACTATTAAAAGATTATGACATTGATATCTTGTATCATCCCGGGAAAGCAAATGTAGTAGCTGATGCGTTAAGTCGTAAAATAATGGCAAGCACTTATGGGCAATCTGTGGAAAGACAATGAATAACTAAGGATCTATGTCAACTAGCTAGCTTGAGGGTTCGCCTGCTTGAATCTCCAAAAGAAGGGGTTATTGTGCAAAATGCGGCAGAATCCTCATTAGTAGTGGAAGTAAAAGAGAAGCAGTACACTGATCCTATTCTATTACAACTTAAGGATAATGTACAATAGGGTATGACAAAGGCATTTGAGCTTACGCAAGAGGGAGAACTTCGATGTCAAAACAGATTGTGTGAACCTAATGTAGATCAATTAAGAAAGAGGATTATGATGGAAGCACATCATTCAAGATATTCTGTCCATCTAGGGTCAACTAAAATGTATCATGACTTGAAAGAAATGTATTGGTGGGGGGACATGAAGAAGAACATTGCGAAATTCGTGGCTCAATGTCCAAATTGTCAACAAGTAAAAGTGGAGCACCAAAAGCCTGGAGGTTATATGCAGTGTATAGAACTTCCAATTTGGAAGTGGGACATGATCAACATGGATTTTGTCACTTGTTTGCCTCGCTCATTTCGGATGTTTGATTCCATATGGGTAATAGTTGACATACTCACCATATCAGCACACTTCTTGCTGATGAAGACTACTTATACAGTTGAGGAGTATGCAAGGTTGTATATTAAAGAGATAGTTCGGCTACATGGAGTGCCAATCTCTATTATATCAGAGAGGGGAGCTCAATTCACTGCAAATTTTTGGAAGTTATTTCAGAAGAGTTTGGGAACACAAGTGAATTTAAGTACAACCTTTCACCCTCAAACAGACGGTCAGGCAGAGCATACAATTCAAACACTTGAGGATATGTTGCGAGCTTGTATATTAGACTTCAAAGGTAGTTGGGATGATCATTTGTCGTTGATCGAGTTTGCATACAACAATAGCTACCATTTAAGTATTAAAATGGCACCTTATGAAGCTTTATATGGTAGAAAATGTAAATCCCCAATTGGCTGGTTCGAAACAGGTGAAACTGCCTTATTTAGGCCAGACCTTGTTCATCAAGCTATGGAAAAAGTCAAAGTGATACAGCAGCGGCTAGAAACAGCTCAAAGTCAATATAAATTATATGTGGATGTTAGAAGGAGAGGACTAGAATTTTCTATAGGGGATTGGGTGTTCTTGAAAGTGTCACCAATGAAGGGGTAATGAGGTTTGGTAAAAAGGGAAAGTTGAGTCCACGCTATATAGGGCCATATAAGATTATCCGAATAATTGGCCAAGTGGCGTATGAATTAGAGCTACCTCAAGAGCTTTCAACCGTTCATCCGGTGTTTCATGTCTCAATGCTTTGGAAGTGTATAGGTGTCCCATCTCGTATTACTCATACTAAAGATGTACAAGTTACGAGAGATCTCACATATGAAGAAGTACCCATTGCTATTCTGGATCGACAAGTTAAGAGGTTAAGGAATAAAGAGGTAGCTTCTGTAAAAGTATTATGGAGGAACCAAAAAATAGAAGAAGTTACATGTGAAGCGAAAGAAGCAATGAAATTGAAGTATCCTCATCTCTTTCAGATTAAAGAGAAGGATGAAAATGGTAGTTGAGGTATTGACAAGTAAGTATAAGTCTATATGTATTATGTGATTAATAGTAATACTAACTTAGGCTTGAACTTGTTTGGGCTGGATAACCATGCTAACATTCGAGGACGAATGTTTTAAGGGGGGAAGGATGTAACAGCCCATATTACACATATGCTTGTTCTATTCTTGTGATACTTGACATTGCGTATAGGTGAGGGACCATGTTTCTTATATGATTAGTGTTGGTTTAAACTATCTCGGAAGATTATGTGATGCCTTACACGTTTCAGCATGTGTACTGCAAGTTATAACTCCAACAGAAGTATTTAAACTCGAGACGGTAAGGTGGTAATTGAGCTTAAAGTTGAAAGTTAAGCTCTAAGTTAAAGAAAATGAGATTAATATTTAGAAAATGGAATAAAATAAGTGAGTTGCTTGTTTGACTTAACTAAGCTAGTAAGTGACAAGTAGGTGCATCACATACTTTGACTAATTGACCAGTCCACAGGACTAAGTGGGTGCATCACCTAGTTTGACCTTTTGAGCTGCTTGATGTACATAAGCAGGTGCATCACCTACTTGACCAATTAGTGGCTAAAAGTGGACCAAAAAAGGGAGGTTCTAAAGCATATTCTTAAAGGTGAAGAAAGCTCAATATAAAATATATTGACTGCTATTCTCACTCATTTTTAATACACAATATTGAGAATTAACTCCAGCTCTCTCTCGTTTCTCTTAAGGATTAAAACAACATCTTTAACGTTCCTTCTAAGGTTCTCGAAAAACCCTCATATCTGCAAACCAAGATAAGAGAAACACTTATGGATTTAGTTTAATTCTCCCATGGAAAACTAGAAAACATGTTATTCATGCTCAATTATAAGTAGAAGGCAGAAGTTCCCACAAGCTACTGCTCACTTTCCTTAATTATTAAGATA